TTTTTAGTTAGCTTATATACAATTCAACTACACAATAGCTATCTGTCTTTTTAGAAAGCTGTGTGTACTTTGAAAAGTGCTATGCAAATAAACATATTACTTGATGGTAAAAAACTACAAAACTAATGTTATTTAAACTTATTTATCTATTAGCAGTGTTAGTGCAGTTCATTTGAATAACTTTCACACCTGTAGTTCAGGAAATAATACATTTTAACACTGAACTTAAAGGTACAAATAAGAGGCTTTTGTGACACAGAAATTGTTGAAAACAATGCTTTGATCTGGGCTAAATGAGCTCGCTGATATGAGTACATATGATGTTCGACAAGTTCCGTCGCAAAATATACACCATAAAAGCAGTGTATTTTTTTGTATTGTTTTGTATCTTTCAGTTCAGTGTTAAAAAAAGGCTGTCTGAATGCTAAGTGAACCAGGACTAAATGTATTGTTTACTTTTTTTGGTCTGGACCAAAAGAACCAAGTGAACCGAACTACAAGCGTGAACACACTCTTAGCCTAGCTCGTGCTCACACTCGTGCACTAGGAATGGCCACTAATTTTGTTTTCCATTCAATACTTTCAAAGGCCAATATCATTGTTATCGAGACCGATAACTCTAAACTGAACTTTATTATTGCTAAAAGTAAAATGGATAATGATACCCACTGAACATTATATCTGAAAGGCTTTTTTAACATTTAATATACCTTAATTGCAAATGATTAGATTTTTGTTAAATATGTTTGTTTGTTTTGTAAAATATGTTTATCATAGTGGTCTGCCAGTTGCACCCAGCGATCCATTCAACTAACATTAAAGGAGAACTCCGGAGCAAAATGAACCTTTGGTCTAATAACACATTGGTACCTAGTCAACCGTTCTCTGAGATTTGTTTTCATAATAATCAAATGTAAAGAGTTTTATCTCTAAAAACTGGCTAGTAATGGGGGCATTTAATAAGTAAAAAGAAATCGCTAGTTTATACCACTAACAAGGCTCAAAATAGCCTCACACTAACACAGTAGCATAATGAGGGTCCATTAATGCAAAACGTAGCATTGAGAACTTTGTAAGAGTACAGACCGTTTAATAAGAAGATACTTTATGAAGACAGTGCACTCTGTGCATACAGACAGGAGCCATCTTTGGAAAACAGTCTCGACAAGTCGAACCACGAATGACGTCAAGTGAGCTGAACTGTATGAAGTTCAGCGAACTTCTGAACTGTATGAACGGCGTTCGTGGTTCGACTTGTCGAGTCTGTTTTCCAAGATGGCTCCTGTCTGTATACACCAAGTGGATTCTTCATAAAGTATCTTCTTATTAAACGGTCTGTACACTTACAAAGTTCTCAATGCTTCGTTTTGCATGTATGGAGCCTCATTATGTTACTGTGTTAGTGTAGGGCTATTTTGAGCCTTGTTAGTGGTATTAACTAGCGATTTCTTTTTACTTAGTCAATGCCCCCATTACTAGCATTATACACTAAACCGTTTTTAGAGATAAAACTCTTTACATTCGATTTTCTGAAAACAAATCTCAGAGAACGGTTGAATAGGTACCGATGTGTTATTAGACCAAAGGTTCATTTTGCGCCGGAGTTCTCCTTTAAGTTTAAAGGCACACTATGTAGTTTTTCACCACTAGAGGTCGTTTATTCAAAACAAAGGCATAGCTTGATGACACTTGATTTAGCGGAATCATGGGAGTTGTTGTCTTCATCTTTACAGGTGGAGAATATGATGGGACCCGGGCAGAAATCATATTCATAGATGACCAGTAATGTATTAAAGATTTATTAACATTACGAAAGCTGTTGGGGAGAAATGAGGCCGTGATCATGACACAGTTCGAGAGCAGAGGAGTTAATCCTGCAGTCGCTTCCGCTTCTCGGTCATGTGTGTGTGTGAGGAAATGCAGTACAGTTTTATCATATTAGATACATTTGAGTTTGTTAATAGTTGTTATAATGCTACTCTGTGTGTTCTCTACTATGAGACACTTGTTCCACACTGGAGTGAGCTAGATCAATGTTAGGCATTGTAAATATGGTACTCGCGGCAAATCAAGAAAACTAGATTTAAATTAAAACACTAACTGTGTTGAGCTGTATAACGATGATTAGTTTTCTGTCAATGAATGTATCCAAACAGTTGCTCACCTGTCTGATAAAACTATATATATATATATATATATATATATATATATATATATATATATATATGATACTTAATGTCTGAATACCTCTAACACCAATACTTTCATATCATATATCTGAATACCTTGTAATTAAATGCCTATAGTTGGAGATTTTGTACTGTGTGAATACCAAATATAGTATGTTTAATACAATAATGCAGTGTTTTCTTTGTCATTTTTGACAAATAAATCCACAAAGTATAACCATATGCCACAGCTTCGAAAATGCATCAGTATTACAGGCATGTATGTATAAATACATTTATTAAATATGTGGGAAACAAATATATATGTCACATATTTATACTTAATGTTGTCCATATATGTGAGAAACCAATACTATACTGTAATATATGCAGATGTATGGTATCATATATGGATAAACTCAAATATTTTCTTCACATGTTTGGACACATAAATGTTCATATTTGTTGCAGGCATATATTGTGTTCTCAGATAAGTCAAATATATGTATAGATATGTCATGCTATTTAAAATATAAGTAAATATATGGCCATATATTACATTTTTGTATGGGTCGTACCATTTACATTGATTCGAGAGGGGTGGTGGGGTCCTGCACAGCATGAAAATGACTTTTTTTATACCAAACCAGTGCCTAACTACAAGTTTAGTTTTTGACAAGAACTTTTTTATTTGTACATTAATGCTACACAAATGTTATTGCATGTATATTATGTATAGAAAACTGACTTCTAAGGGCCCCCCTGCCTCGGGCCCTGGGTACTCGGTACCCTTTACCCCCCAGTCCGACGCCCCTGTGTGCGTGTGGTCAGCGCAGTCTCATCCCAAGACGTCATATAACTGACGTTTTGGGACGTCTTTTGACCATACGTTTTAGGGCCCCCTTAAACGTCGGTAGATGAGGTTATGGGATCCTAACTCTACCCCAGACCTAAACCTAACCCTAAACCTAACCCGTCACCTAACTGACGTTAAAGGTAAAGCGTCAGTTGTATGACGGCCCGGGATCGCCATCTACCGACGTTTAAGGGGGCCCTAAAAAGGCGGATATTGACGTATGGTCAAAAGACGTCCCAAGACGTCAATTATATGACTTTTTGGGATGAGACTGTGTTAGTGTGGTCCATGAGTGTGCACACCTCTGGTTGCAGTTTCGCTTGTCACCAGAGGGGGCATAGTTCTGCAAAAACTCAGAGACTTGCGCAATGCACCTTTAAATAAGCTATTTCCTTACACAAGCTGTTTATTCAGCATAGTGAAGCCTCTCCTCCATCGATATCCATAAAAAAGGCCTCTCGTCTCCTTTCCTGCGTACTGACAGTCACAGCTTTAGCTTTATTAGCCATTATGCTTTTTGACTAAAAGTTGCAGGCTTGACTTCAAGTGACTTGGTCAACACTACACATTTCAAATTCTTGATTCACACTTGATTCAACTCATCAGTTAGTTAGTACCTACTGTACTACCAAGACCACACATATAGTCAGGTGAGGGAGACATCCAAAATGTGCAGTGTTGAAGCAGTCATTTCTGCAAAAGTATGCGATTTTTGGCCACCAGGGGTCACTTATTTAAAATAATAACAAAAGACGTACTTTGATGACGTTGGGAAAGAGAGTGGGCTCACGGGAGTTGTTGTCGCTGTGACAACCAGCTCAGCTCATGGCATGACATCATCGTTTCACAAAATATACGGATATACGGCATCTCTCTGTAGATTTAGCTTGTCAAGAAGCTTTAAATGCAACCCCAATGTTTACCTGTGTCATGCTTTTTCTCCTGTCCCAAACCCTTTTCGGGTCATATTTTTCACCCGTACGTTTGAGCTTTACTGAGCTGGCTGTAGCAGCAGAACGTGCAGGCAAAGCGTAATCGTGGTCCATAACTATAATACAGACGAATATAAATATTTATATTACGCCTCTTCAATGAATGACCTATTTTAGAACAGTTGCATTTTTCATATAGGCTATAGGGCGCACCGGATTATAAGGCACATAAGAGACTGCAGTCAAACGTTTGACTGGGTTTGCGTTATGCATCCACTATGTGCTAAAGGCTAAAGGGAATGCAGTGAGTGCGCGGCGCCGGAGGTGAGGCGTTTATTTAGTAAGCATGAGCGCGTACATTCGCAGCCTGACTCATATGAGTATTCAATGTGCGCGGCTCGCTAACAGCAACAGTTGGCTGTTTTGAATGAGACGACCCGGTTAATGAGAACGGGGAGCTCTTTATGCGCGAGCAGCACCGGGGACAGTGTGTCTGTTAGGAGTGAGCGCTCGTGAGCGGGCACGTGATTTACACACATAAATATACGTACTTACTTTTTTTTCTTCGTCATTTTCTTTGCTTTATTGGCGGTAGTCCAGTGTTCCCCTTTGTGTTTGGCGGTTTCGCCGGGTTCCGCAAGAAGTTAGAAAATAGAGGAGTCAAAGGTTGTATATCGCCATAGACAGGCGACGAAACGGAAATAAAGAAACATCCCGTGTCTTCGAATTAAACGATAAATTTCTCCGTATTTGAAAGTTGGTGGAAACTGTTGGGATAAAGTAAGTACACATCTAATAGAAATATATAACATAGATACAGTTATTTTTGCTATTTTTAAAGCAGAAAAAATAAGTATTGTGGCTTTAAGTTAAACTGTGTATCACACAGTAGGCTATATTTGTAATTGAGAGGAGACATTTTTTATGGTGGAGAATAATTTGAATCAAGTCGCTGATGCTTTTGAGTCATGTGAGCTGAATAATGCAAATCAGGAAGGTTATTGGGAAAATACGTTGACTGGGATTTCATTCTCTCCTCTCACTCTGTCTGTATGGACACTCCTAATTTTTTTAATAAACTGATCTCTGCGATTAAATTACGGCCTGAATCCAGAGGTCAATAATGCTGTCAGGATTTACAAGCCAAAGAGGTACGTCAACACACTTTAAGCTTTTATATTGTAAAATTGTAAAACAGTAATATTGTGAAATATCATTATAGTATAAAATAACTGTTTTGTATTTGAATGTTTTTAAAATGTAATTTATTCCTGTGATCAAATCTGAACATCATTATTTCAGTCGTCGTGTCAACTAATCTTTGTAATATGATGATTTGCTGCTCAATTATGAATCATATTTCTTGTTATTGTGTTGAAAATGTTGTGGGAAACATGATACATTTTTTTTCAGGATTCTTTGTTGGAAAAGTTAAAGAAAGTTTTTCCATTTGGATAGAACGTTACATTGATTTGAAATAGAAATTTTGCGTCTTTGCTACATAAAATAATCTTATTTAACCCGAAATTTAGTAACTTTAGCATAGTGTAGTTTTCACAAAAATATGAAGCAGCTGTTTTCAACATTGATCATTAAATATTTATTGAGCAGAAAATCAGCATATTACAATTATTTCTGAAGAATCATGTGACACTGAAGATTTGAGTAATGATGCTGAAAATTCAACTTTGATCACAGGAATAAATTAAATTTAAGAATATATTCAAACAGAAAAAATGTTTCTATTAAATTTTATTAATATTTCACAATATTACCATTTTCACTGTATCTTTGATCAAATAAATGTAGTCTTGGTGATCATGAGAGACTTCTTTTGAAAAAAAAATCCAAATTTTTGATTATCTGGTAGTGTATTTTTGGGGTCATTTTATTGTTATTTTTTAAATCCACTTTGCTTTCACTCCTTAAAACCCCCCCTGTTCCAGTCTCTATTCTGGATGATGTTTGAAACTTTCATTGTCTCCTTAAGACTAATCTCTTGTTGTATTCCTCATTTGTAAGTCGCTTTGTATTTGTGTGATAAATGTAAATGTATAGCCTGATTGACGTCACTGATGGAAGGCATATGCACGTTCATATTAATGACTGCGCTCTGTTCCATTCACCAGAAATTGATGGCACAAAAATGAAATTGCCTAAAGGTGTCATTTTCATTTTTCTGGCATTGATTTTTAAGGTGAGTTGAGATTTAGTATCATTTTTCAAAGTTCTTTAGTTATACAAACAATTTATAAGTATTAACTCTTTAACACTTTTGATTGATAGGTTGCTGTGGCAGGTAATATATAGATTTTTTTTTCTGCTCATCAAAAATAATCTATTGAATAAATAATGTGTTTTTCCATTAATCATCATCAAAATGAATACTGTCACAATACTTCATTCCAGGGAATTCCACAAAGGTGTACATGCTTGAGCTTGAATTTGAGGAATCGGTGCATGAGAATGTCACTGACCTGTTGAAGGATCATACACAAATAGATGTGAACGGGTCTGCGATTGTAACCAACATCACCAGCACAACAAGTAAACAAACAATGCTTGAAATTACACAACACCAACACTGAGAAAAAATCTGTAAAAAAAAAAAAAAAAAGAGAAAACAAAACCTATCAAGTACATTGGGCCGTTTCCTTGTGCATTCAGAATGAACATTAAAAAAGGGTCTTTCCTGTTGTGCGGTATAGCATTTAATTAAAATGTATATACTTCTGTAATTTTAAGAACGATTTCTGTAAAAAATAATTAGACTTTCTGCATCAGAAACATCAACATTAATAATGATAACTCTTTACTTGCCGCTGACTTGCATAAGGACGTTAAAACTCATATTTTTAAGCATCTTTGAAATGTTGAAATTATCAAACTGATTTATGTATTGATCAAACAAGATGGAATGTTTGTAAATGAAAAAAAAAAAAAGATGTCAGTTCCTGGAGGATGATGTCCAAAAGTCTATGATGATGGAAAATGATTTCTTTAATTAGGAAAAAACTATAAATTGATAGCTCGTTTACCAACTTCACCCTAATGTTTATTTAAATTGATATTGAAAAAAGAAAACTATGATTTATTTATGAAATAGTATTTTTAAATTAGGGTTTAATTCAATATATGATGGGTAAATAAAAATGTAGGCTACTGCAGACGGGGAATGATACATACACAAACTTTATGGACAATTGCAGCATTTCTAATCAATAAATTACTGACATTATGAAAAAAACCTGAATGTGCTTGTTTGCAGATTGTATATTGGCTGACAAGCAGAAGAACTGTTCATGCATGACAGATTACACATGGAGTGAGGACATTTGCAGAAATCATGCCTGCTGCAAAAACGAGAACTGCGAGATAAATGTTGATGACCCTGCGTTCTGTCTGTCTGAAAAAAGAGGTAGAGTATTGTTTGATTTGGGCAAAGGATGTCTTAGTGATTTCTTAAATGTTTATTGAATGCTGTAATTTTTCTTTTTGTCCAGTAAGCATTAATGGATCTACTATATTGACAAATAATAGTTACAACATATTAGTAAGTAATGAACCAAATAAAAATATGGAAGAACACAAGAAGATGGAACAAGAAGTAATTACTATGGTATGTACTGCTGTTTGTAATCAAGTTTTTTAATCATTTTAACAAGGTGAAAAGAAAATATATATATTAAAGGTTATGCTTCTTACATTCTTTTACCAGATTTTTTAATTATGGTCTGTGTTAATGTAAAACATAGATTTACATTTTATGTTGTTTAGTTAATTTGGTTACACTTTATTTTACAGTGTCTTTGTTACATATGTTACATGTACTTACCATAGTACATTAAATTATGTATAAAGTTTTTGCAACTAGCCCTCAACCAAATCCTAATCCTACCCTAACCCTATAGTAAGTACATGGTATATGTAATTAATAAATATAATTACACTGTGACAATGACACCTTAAAATAAAGTTTAACCGTTCATTTTTATTGCATCATTATTGTGTTTAGTCTATGTGTTGGAAACACTGTGCACCCTCCACATCCACTGTTTATGGAAAGGGTGAATTTGATTAACTTTAAGTCATCTTTCTCTTTCTGCATGTATTTTTATGGTGGTTCAAGGTTCAAATCAGTATATGAACTGTAAAATATACAGGCAACATACTGTCATCCTGCAACGACTAAATATAAACAAATTTTAGTTTAGTTTTGGTTTGATTTAATTTTATCAATAGAAAAGAATACCTCACCTGCATGTTTTCATTTCTTTTAGCTCAAGAAAATTTTCAGCACATTGGAATATTTTGATTCTCTAATTATCAACGGTTACGGGTAATAAAGATAACATGCACCTCTGGCACCTACTGTTTCTTGTTCTTTATACAAACATAAAACATTAGATAAAGGACCAAAGATGTAGTAACAATTTCCCATTTGTTCAAAGGCGTGGCAGTGTGATTGTATATTATACGGTGCAGATACTTGGTTCAGTCACACCTTCACAGCTTGTGAGCATAATAAAGCCACTGAATGATTCTGAGCTGACAACAACAGGTAACGTATTTATTGTGAATTATTTCTTTAACTTTTTACACAATGTTATGCGATAAACAAGAGTTTATTACACAGTCACATCTTGTTATTTTCTCCAAAGGTCTCGTCACTATTGTCGGACCTGAGAAGCAACCGATTGATATAGGCTCCAATGCAAATATAAATTGTACTCCATCAACTGATCTCGGAGAGGTACGGTGGTACTTAACAGATGTCGAGAATAAAACAACACAGATCACAACAGGAAATGAGGCCAGCTTTCAAAAGCATGGTTCAAATGACAGTCTTCACCTAGGGGTCATTTCAGGAAGCTGGAAAGGTATGTTTCTACAGTACACACTGAATCTAAAATATTTAGATAATTGAATCTGAGTTGGCTAATTTCACTGTAAAAGTGATGTCATGTGTCAGTAGTTATGTTTACATCTTCCTATTTTTATATGAATTTTGGATTATCACATGAAAAAAAATGCTGGATGGAAACATTATGAACATAAATTCTAAAAAAGCACATAAAAATGTGTGCTCAATTGAGGTTGATCAAACACATTATCTGCGTCTAATTCAGAGGCTGCATCCTCCTTCAAATCCGTCCGTAGTTTCGCGGGCATTGAGGGATACAACAGATGGATCCTTTTTGGCCTTTCCTACCCCAGAATTCATTGCGTGCTGATGAAGAGAGAATTTTCTTTTTTTTATAAGCATTGAGTACTGAGCCATCTTTGAAAACAGTCTCGACAAGTCGATCCCCGAACGCCGTTCATACGGTTCAGAAGTTCGCTGAACTTCATACAGTTCAGCTCACTTGGCACGGCGTTCGTGGTTAGACTTGTCGAGAAAGTTTTCAAAGATGGCTCCTGCTTTGTATGCACGAAGTGTACTGTCTTTATAAAGTATCTTCTTATTAAGCGGTCTGTACACTTACAAAGTTCTCAATGCTTCGGTTTGCATGTAGGGACCCTCATTATGTTACTGTGAGGCTATTTTGAGCCTTGTTAGTGGTATTAACTGCCACCATAGAGTTTTTAGAGATAAAACTCTTTACATTCGATTATCATGAAAACAAATCTCAGAGAACGGTCGACTATAGGTACCAATGTGTTATTAGACTTTAGGTTAATTTTGCGCCAGAGTTTTCCTTTAAGGAGACATAATATAGGCTACAGTTAATATAAGACATGAAGCATCAGCAGGAAGAATGGGTAAATTGAGTATATCTTCTCTTCTCAGGTTCAATAAGCTATCGAAATGGTTAAAATGATGTTTTTTTGTTGTTGTTTTTTTACAATATCATGTACCCTAGTGATACACGTGCATGGGCGTAGTTCTCAGAGCAGTTCGAGAAATAGGATCTCTCAATTGATCATTTCAAAGAAACATACCAGTTTTGGGGTCGACGGCTTATAAATTCATAAATTCCCAGGTTCACATAGGGTGTTGAAATAAGCTATCGATATGGTTAAATTTATGAATGTTTTTTTGTTGTTGTTGTTGTTGTTTTACAGTATCATGTACCCTAGGCGTGGGCGTAGCTCTCAGTTGTAGTTCAAGAAATAGGCTCTTTCTCAATTGATCCACTCAAAGAAACAAACCGTTTTGGGGGTCAACGGCTTATAAAAATAATTTCTGGGTAATTTAGCTTGTTTGCTGTACACCTTGTCTCACAGCAGCTTTTAAACATTGTTTTGTGTTTTCTTATAAGTCATAATTGACAAGGAGGCAGCCTCTCACAATGCAAATCAATGGAGATGGTTGGATTTGCTTCTTATTTGCTTCCTTACACAACATCTTAAATGTTAGTTTGATCACTGAAATATACCTGAGCCAAAGTCTGTCATCAAAATGGTTGTGTATAATGACTTTCCAGAACTGTCTCATTGTGTTCCCAAACATCAGGCAAGATAACATGACTGCTTGTAATGTGTTTTGCCCGCAAGCTTCGATGCGCACTGTCAAAGAGCCACAGTGGCTTCCCCCGAACTTCCATTTTATTACAGATATTTTGCACCAGTATGCCAGGTAGTGACAAATTTTGGATGTAAATGGCGCTTTATAAGCAAATGTTTAATGATCTATTCCAATCTTGGATGGAAACATAGCTAGTGTAAAAATCTTTTTCAAGTAATGGTGGTAATATGCAGAATAATTTGTTCCTGTTTGTCTGAGAAATGTAAATCCTGACCAGCATTAAAGTCTGTGTCTGTCTACCTATCTACCTTTAGGAACATTTACATGCGTGTACGCAATTGGGTCCATAAAACACACAGCAAGTATAACGTTGGACATCGCACTTTTGCCAGAACAAATTCAGGCCATGAGCACGCCCCAATTTCCTGACTGTACTAAAGAACCTAAAGAGGTTAACATTGTAATTGAGTGTATCATTCCTGACGACAAAGAAAATTACACTGTTACCTGGACTAGTGGTTTAACAGAACAAGCTCCAAGTAAGCATATCTCATTTTTGCTCTCTCAATGTAACCATAACCAGCATAAAAAATGCGATGGAAAGATAAATATCTATATGGTTTTTACACACTTGATGTTAAACAGTTTTCATATCACTGCATTCTTTAGAAATCCAGAAGAACGGTATATCTTACGAAGCAAAGATGACCATACAATGTGCAGACAAGAAAGAGAACGTTACTGTTGACTGTACATTCACAAACAACAGAGCTACAAATAACAAAGCCCGACCGCAGAGTGTTGTGATCCCCATCATTCAACGTAAGTCTTGTTGTTTAACTATTTATTAAATGTAATATCTTTTAAAGTTGCAGACAATAGCTAAAAAGTGAAAGTGTGTGATTTATTTTTAAACACAGTAACACACACACACACACACACACACACACACACACACACATATATATATATATATATATATACATGAAGAGTTCAGATGCAAAAGCCTCTAAATGCCATTTGAAATTTTCATCTTTAATGATGATTTTTATAAAACTTGTATATTTAAGTTCAGTAATTTCACTTAAATAACAATTAATAGGTAATTATTATTGCCATTTAAGTGAAATTACTGAACTTAAATATACAAGTTTGATAAAAATCATCATTAAAGATGAAAATTTCAAATGGCATTTAGAGGCTTTTGCATACATACATACATACATACAAATGAATTACAAGCTTTTTGTCTTAGACTGACATGATTAAAATATCACTAGCATTAAGTGCTTTAATTTTTAATAACTTTCAGCCTTCTTCTTTTACATCATCTTCTATCATGTCCAAACATATGGAAGCCCATTTCTACTAAAAGGAGGGGGGAAAAACATGCGTTGATAAATGACTATTAAGAAATAAGATATTTTTATGAATAAAAAGTATAATGAGATAATGAGAAGTCATAAGACAGTATGAGGAAAAAGTTGAAAATATTGACTTTGAATATGTAATAATATCAATCTTTTATCTCATTAATTAGTATCTTATTCTTTTGACCTTTTATATTATAATCATCACTTACCAAACAACTATTATTTTGTTTTTCTTATGTGACTGAAAATGGGCTTTCATACAAAAGCATGTACAATATGACTTTTTTTTTATCTTTGGGGACTTTTCCATCTAAAAGCTGTTTTAAGCTCCAAAAAAGTCATTATTCTCTGATAATCTTCTCCTCCATCAAAGCTCTGAATTGGAGTACTGACTACAGAAACACCATTTGAGAGCTCTGGTGGAAGACTTTCAGACTGTTAACTACATAAAGCTATTGAATGAGTTAGAATTACTGTTGTGACATCATTTTAAAAAATGACTTTCACCTACAGTATATATGGAAAAGAATGGCTAGAATATTATTCAAAAAAAAGTCCTAGGAAGAAATTAAATCAGGTTTGTAACATTATGGTGAATCAATAGGGACACAAATTTCATTTTTGAGTGAACTAATGCTATTGGATATGGGTGAACAGCTGCATTATTTTGCATATTATAAACCTAGTGAATGTTTTCTGATTTATAATTGTGAAAATAAAAATGACGAGAAAAACAAATCTGTCGTTTTTCATTCTTTAAAATAGCCACTTCAGCAATCTGTGAAGCAGAGGGTGACTGGCCCAAAGCAAAAAGCAATCACACGGCCATCAAATCTTGCATAAACTCTGTTGGTTTGATAAGAAGAGAATGCAAAGACAGAGTATGGGGAAATGTAATCTCTTCTTGTGTGAATAAGGAGCTGGATCTCATTCAAAAGCGTGTAGAGGTATCACTCTTTGGTATTCATTTAGCCATTCTTGGGCAAATTTTCTTAGTAATAAACACTTGATTTTTTTTTTTACCTTCATAATAACAGAACTTAAATAAAGGTATTGGCTTGATGAGGGATGATGCAGAAGTACTTTTTGAAGGCATACAGATATCGAGCACAAGCAAGACATTCAACTCATATGCAAATATTAACGCATCCGTACATCTTTTCAAAGACATGAATAATATATCGATGCGCCAGGAAAATCCATGGAATGATCCTGTCCTACCTGTAAGTATGTTTTCTCTTTAGATTATTTAAAACATTATTTGTTATCCATCTTATTAATATTTATTATTCTTTAAACCTTCAGTAATATTTGACCCAGGGTTGGGTACTTTCCACATTTTAACCGGTACCCAACAGTAAATTTTTCTGGTATTTTAGGCATGTTTACATCAAGAACTGTAAATAAACTGCATGTAAGAAAAATTTATTTTATAGATGTAAAATTGAAATTATGCCAGAGCTCCCTTGGTCGCGGTCTACAATGTTTTTATGTTTCTTAAAACAAAACAAAAAATATACAGTGTATGTATATATATATATATATATATATATATAATTTTTTATTTCATGAAATGTTTTCCACAAATTCTGTCTTGTGTATTTTCTTTAATCAAATGAAGATACAACATTAATTTAATTTATCTTTTAATCATATGAAATTTAAAACATTTTGTCAACTTTATACTGTTAAAATTAAAACATGGAAGAAAAATGTATTATTACTTAAAGGTTTGTTAATTTACTATTATTGGTGTTAATAATATCATTACATTAAATTAAGACGCATGTCTCAGAGATCACATGGAGATTCAAGATTCATATTTAAATTGTCTTTCCGTCGCACTCAGATGCATTCACATGTACTGAAATTTGGTTGTTGATTTAATGTGAATCGGTACTCAGTAGTACCAACCTAATTCGGTTAAAGTACCAAGTTCTGTACCCAACCCTAATTTGATCTATACATTTCCAGGTCAGGAACAGGGTTATTTTGTCTGATCTATTAGAATAGATTGATAGAGTAACAACCCATGAGAAAAAGAAATGTCATAGAACTTCTCAACTTGGCTCGACTTCAGTTTTGAAACGGTCTTAACATTTGTAGTTGTTTTATGGGACTCTATCACATGTCTGCAAAACATATTAAACTCACCCGAAAACATTTACTTCATGCTCCAAAAAAGTAAAACTTTTTTTTTTTGACCATCATGTGAGCTGTACTGGTCAAAATGCTCAGATACTTTTTCACCATGGGTTCCTGGAAATGTGTAGACAAAACTTATGTCTATCACTTTTTACATTTGTATGATTATTCGATGATTATTTTTTTACCTTGTAGCATGTAAAGTCCCTTTCATTTCACTTCATCATTCATTCAAAATGACAATCAAATTCTTCTGCAGTTCAGTCTAATCGCATTTCACTTTCTTATTGTTTTTACATTGCAGAACTTCGTCAAGTCTGCAAGCAACGTTTTGAACGATTCAAAATCCTGGAAAAACCCTAAAAACGACCTCACAGATTTAGCTGTGACATATCTACAGATTATGGAGGAAATGGTGAACAACACAAATATGTCCTCAACTACTTCTTACAAGGCTGAAAATTTTGAACTGCAGTCCTGTAATGACAGCTGCAAATCCTTCAATGCCAGCGTCGACACAGACAGTGGGGTTATTGTCGTTGGATTCCGGAACCTTTATGAAATTTTCCCCAACTTAATAAACGGCAGCATACCAAACGCCAGCATAGAGACTACCATCATGTCAGTTATCCCTGCAAAAAATACCAATTCGGCTCAAGTTGTTCTGAAATTCAATTATTCTCAAAATAGACTCCCAAATCATGATATGTATTGTGTTTTCTGGGATGAAACACGGAATGAGTGGTCTTCAGAAGGGTGTGTTTGGGGTGGTGTGAGCAATCCAGAAGAATGCAGATGTGACCACAACTCTGCGTTCACCATAATGATGGCCAAAGATGAAATTACCCTTCCCTACATGGAGGAACTGACCTACGCTGGCTTGGGATTATCAATCGTTTCCCTCGTTCTGTGTTTAATCATCGAGATTCTGATATGGGATACAGTTGTAAAGTCAGACATCTCCAATTTTCGGCATGTAGCCATTTTCAACATCTGTTTATGCTTGCTGTTTGCACACATTGGATTTTTAGCATCAGCTGAACCTAAGAAGTTGTCCGGAAACTGGTGCTCCATCATCACATTAGTCAAACACTTTTTTTTCCTAGCCGTCTTCTTCTGGATGCTGTGCTTGAGCTTTTTGATTCTTCACCAAATAATATTTGTCTTTGACCATCTGCGGAAAAAGGTTTTTTGGGGATTGTCTATCACTCTTGGTTACGTATGCCCAGTATTATGTGTGGCAATAACATTCATTACATTCAGAAATGGTGAAGCTGGAGCATACTATTCCACAAAGACTTGCTGGCTCATTTATGAGGGTGTGTTGAAGGGCTCCATGTATGCTTTTATTCTTCCTGTCGGAACTATTGTGTTTATAAACTTGTTCACCTTGGTTGTGGTGATCATGAAGATAGTAACCCCTACTATGTCAGAGGCAAAGGCGCGGGACGAAAAGGATGTTGCCAAGAGTATGATCAAGACAATAGTCTTCCTAAGCCCTGTCCTCGGGATAACTTGGATCTTGGGATTTTTTGTAATGCATCTTGACCTTACACAAAGACCTTGGGCCCAAATCGTGAACTACACATTTACAATACTCAATTCACTACAGGTGAGGGTAAAGCTTCAAACATTATCTATTTATGTACTCATACTGAGTGCATTCATGCATGTACTTTAAAATATCTTATTGTATTTTATTACAGGGCTTTTTCATACTGCTGACAAACTGCGTTGGAGAGAAAAAGGTAACTATGCCCAATACGTGCCCTCAATATTAATGTTTTTTTTAGGAATTAAGGCTGAAAATATAACATTTTAAAACACTTTCATTTTGCTAACTGGACCATTACTGAACAAATTTGCTATCACGAGATTTCAGTCTATACAACCTTTACTCAAAATGTGCATATTTGATTTTCTCCAAAGGTTCGTGATGCACTTCGGAAGCGCTTCAGAGGTTCCAAGGTTAGTCCGTGCAAGGGAAATATGCACTTTTACAGATGCAAAATGCATCACAAATACAAATATTATAATATTATATAATATACATGTAGTAAAACAGAGCTAATGTTCTCACATTTTCTTATCGTCAGCACACACAATCAGCACATTCTAAAAGTGAAAGCTCAACTAAAGAGACATATACGGTTAAAAATAAATAAGGATTGGACAGATTTAAGGTAAGTTACATTTGTGGTCTTGAGAATATTTTTATTTCATGTCTGCATATTTTGTTCTAATGTTGTTTTTATCCCAAATCAGCATGTGAATTTAGTCGGTGCATTCTAGAAGTACCGAAAGAGAAAACATGGAGTACGAGGAAACTCTTCATGGATTAAATTGTCTCACATTCTATGCATATTAAAATAGCAATAAATAAATAAAAAGTTAATTGTTTTCTAAAACACTGTACATTTATGATATTGTACTTCAGAGGATAATGTATATCGATGTAGTCATGCAAGTTTGCTGTATGAATGTATTTAGGTTTGTCTGTGACCAAATCATTTTTCTTTCTAAAATGGCATATTTAATTTTATCTATATATTCATGTAAGTATTTATGCTTTTAATTGTAGATCACCTACTTGGAATAAAAATAAAACTGGTGAAAGTCGTAGATGATTATACATTTTGGCATGTACTGTCCTGTCCTCCAACAATGCTTTCTCTTATTATTTTTTACATTTCATTTAGATGCATAGCAAAGAAAGCACATTAGTTTGTATTTTTGCTCTCATGGCTTAATAAAACCTACTTTGTAATTGTTTTTTCTTGTAGTCTGTCTTCTCTCTCCTGTTCATCAGTGTCATCTGGGCAGCCCATTAAAATGTGCAATTTGCCAATAGTTCCTGCTCGCAATCTCTGCCCTGGAAATACAGCAAACACCATGTTATTAAATACCTAGCATCACGTACAGTAGCCACAAATCTAGTCCATACATCAGCGTAGAACAGAAAATGTCAGAAAAATAATATAAAGTGTGTATAAACTATTTTTGACCTCTTATTTTAGGAGTCAATACAATAACTGATTGTTTGACAAATATAACTCAGAAAAACAGAACATAATACACACTTCGGTTGCACTATATTTTACAGTATGAGAAGTTTATTGGGTTATATAAGGTAACTACATGGTTTGAGGTAAGGTTTAGGGGTAGGTTCAGGGTTAGTACCTACTTGTTACACAGTCACTGTAATAATTACTATTGCATGAATGAACAAAACTTTGAAATATTATACTATTAATTAAATATCATAAAGCCATAAACGTGTCAAAAGTGTAAAGGGCAATTTGAGGATAAAAAGCCACTAAATGCAAAAATCATCATTCTTGAAGATTGCGTTTATTTTATGACAGATGCATGGGGGGGAATGCAGGAGTCAGACTCCGCTACAAAATGTGCAGCCTCAATCCATTATCCATCCTCAAACAAGCCCTTGCTCCATGTTCATTCAGTATCCGAACCAGTGTTGTAGTACTCGAGACTCGGACTCGTCTCGGACTCGGTCTCGAGACCATATTTTAATGGTCTTGGTCTTGTCATGGACTCGTGTGCATTTGGACTCGGAATTGACTCGTACTCGAACATTTTTTTTTTTTTTAGGTCTCTAACTTATTCCCGAGTCCACTCGAGTTCAATTAAAAATAATTTTCATGATTATTAATGTATGTTAATAAAATATTTCTTTAAATTGATTGAAACGCCCAGTGATTGGTGATTTTCTAGTGCGCAACTGCGCATGACAAATTTTAATAAAATTACTTTTAACACCAGCTACTATGTGGCCTTTTTACCCTAAACTGATCATATTTTTTAAACTCTAAGTAAATTCAGTAAAAAAAAAAAAAAAAAGTATTTCTCTAAATAAATAAAAGTAAATTAGGTAATCAACCCTCACTGGTCTCGGTCTCGACTCGGACTCGACCGTCTCTGGTCTCGGACTCGACTCGGACTCGACTCTCTATGGACTCGGTCTTGACTCGGACTCGACTCTCTCTGGTCTCGGTGTCAACTCGGACTCGAGTGAGGTGGTCTCGACTACAACACTGATCCGAACCACTTCTCTTTGACCTTAGACAAGATCAGAGCTTCACACGACTGGGTGAACCTTATGACATCAAATCCAGGGGTCACACTTCACCCTCAATTCAACATTAACTTGCATGACCTTCTACTAGTCTATTGTAACTTGTACTTCATAGTGTTAAAGATCACTCCTTTAAACCCTTTATGCTCAATTCAGATTTTTTGCTCAGATCTGATTTTTGGTTTAGCCCTTCACATTACCTTTTAAAATGTGGCCTATATCTGATTCCAATGTGAACTAACCCGCATGCACAAAAGAGCAATAACAATGACATCATACGCAGCACGCTGTTGCACCAATGTTCGTGTGGTTATGGAGGAAGTAGCATTTATGCTTTTATTTCTAAATGTCTGCGTAATGGAAGCCATAAAATTAATGAGCAGGTGCTGAGGAGGAGAGGAACGAAGAAAAAGAAAGAAAAAATGGCTATTTTGGCCTTTTGCAGGTTTATGGCTGCAAAGTCAATACAGAAGTCTGTGTGGATGGGTAGATGGAGCCAGGAGTGGTGTGTCTGTTGTGTCTACACTCTTAGAAAAAAAGGGTTCTATGTATGTAGCAAAGGGTTCTTTACTCAACTGCAAAGGACCTTTTATGCAAAAAATGATGATAATGACAAGAAAGAACCCTTTTGGCACAAAGGTTCATTATAGGCTATTATTCATGCATTATTCTGCAGCATTTTTGTAATTAAATTATTGTTTACTAAACTGTTGTAGTAACTTAACATCCCATTTTAATCATGCTGATTTTTGAAGGATAAAAACTGAAATGGCACTCTTCGTGTGATAGATTACATTTTTTTAACCCCCATATCTTGAATTTTGTGATCATTCATGCATTGCATTTTAGGGGTTGCAAATGCATAGCACTTTAGAACCTTTTAAGCTTCTATAACCTTTTCTTCATAGAGTGTAGTGCTTACTCGCCGGCACATAATTGTGTCAAATGTCGATGTAGATTGATGTCAGTCTTGGTTGTTCACACTGTGGACGCATTGAAAAAAAATCAGATCTGTGTGTGAGTCAGGACTACATATGTATGTGGTCTAAATCCGATTTAAAAAATGAGATCTGGGCAAGATTTGAGTGTTCTCACCATCTCTGAAGAAGTCTGACCTGGTTACTTGACCCAGATTTGGGCCCCTTTTGTCTGCGGTGTGAACGGGGCCTGTGACTTTGATTAGGGTCACATTTATTTTTCACAATTTCTTCCACTAGATCATAAAAATCACCAGAAGCTGATGCAATTGTCTTTAAAAACTTTGAAATAATGAACTAATTTGGTTTACACCCTCGTTGCGGTTTGCACTAATATATGTACGTCATCAAAATCTTGCAACTTGTTACCACAAGTGTTACCACTTTTATCTTAAAACCATTCACTGTATAGTTAATGTAAATGTCAGTCAAAATTTCGCAGACTTTAAATTAGACGTTGTTTTCATGGGATACCGGTTTCTTTTCTCAGCACAGATCATTGACCAATCAGAGACATTTGTGATTTAACTGGGTATGTAATCATTTCATAGTGATTTTGTTGGCTGATTTATATCAGGTACCACTCAAATAAATAGATATATTTAAACGATTATACGTTGTAATGTAAAAATGTTTTAGACAAAGGAAAAAAGCGCTCATTTTAGACAAAGGCAATTGCGCCTCCTTGAAAAGAACCTTGTTTGTCTCATGCATTAGTTTTCAGGTGTTATGGTGCAATTTAGAATACTTAAGTGCACATAAAAAAAAAACTATGGCAAAACCAGCTCTATGAAGAGTTTTTATTCCAACCATCATTAAATTCAACCACCATTAAATTGACAAACTTTTTTTTATATAGCTGTTACACAAGTGTTTATCACGAATAAACTAGGGTATCAACAAAACCTAACACAATGCAATCAGACAAGCTTCATGCTGGGTTTTAAAATTACTAGAAAGATGGCCTGTAACATCTCTAATCTTTCACAGACTTGTGAACACAGAATCTGGACACAGATGTCCATTTGAAACAATTTTTTTTGTTCGTTGCATATTCATTTTCCCCCATGAAAAAAAATGGCTTAGACCTTTCCACAATAAAGTTAAAAATCGCTCATTTGAAGATGCATTTAGAGTCACACGAGTCTTCAGTGCAAACCTATAAAGTAACAAAATGGGGGGGAAAGAGTTACTTTTCAGTAAGGGTTACTGAATATAAAAAATAAAAAAATAAAACACAAAAGCAAAAAAGGAATACCATGGGTAACTTTTTTTCTAAACCAGCAACCCAATCGGAACTTCTGCTTGGTGTCATCGGGACGTCTGTTGAAAAATAAGTGAAGTGAAAAAATAAATCAACCATTGACAACTAAAAATAGATAAAAATAAAAAATAGGCCATCATACACTAAACGACAGATTCTCACCACAGAACTACACATTGTACCAAACAGAAACAAGCACATCATATAGAAGCAATGACAAATGAGAAAAATGTGTTCTAAAATTAGCTCAAAATATCAAACATGCATGATATCCTCAAACTGAAAAGAATCAGCCTAACTAATCATAGCCCTTTTTTTAAAAGTAATAACATAAATAATCGGAGGCTCTGGAAGTCATACACTACACAATTATATGCAAATTCTGCCCAAAAACTAACTTTCAGAAACTAGCAAATAGCAAATATGGAAAAGTAGTGCAATGTATTCCAGCCTTAAATAAAAATATAGACCTAAAAAACAAATTGCCCTTAAAGGGATGGTTCACCCAAAAATGATGCATGATTTACTCGCCCAGAAATCATCCTAGGTATATTAAGTTAGTGCATATTACATTATTCTTTCAGACGAATAAAATCGGAGTTATATTAAAAAAATGTCCTGGCTCTTCCAAACTTTATAAAAATGGCAGTGAATGGACAGTTTCTGTCCATAAAAGTACATCCATCCATGATAAAAGTGCTCCACGCGGCTCTGGGGGGTTAATAACGGACTTCTGTAGCGAAACGATGTGTTCGTGTGAGAAAAAGATCCATAGTTAAAACTTTATCAACTAAAATAACCAGCTTTCGGCAAACCGTCATCGTTTTACAGTGAAAGAGTACCCCCTTGACCTGATACACAACGTAATGACAGTGTTGAGCACGTTACTTAAAATGTTAGTGACTATTAATAATTAGTTACTATTTGTGAGTGGTTAAATCATTATAAAAGTAACTAATTACCAGGGACAGTAAATATTGCATTACTTAAATAATAATAATAAAATGTTCAAATACGCCGGTCAAATAACTTGGATGCCCCCAATATTAAAATGTTAAATTACCTAAATGCACACTAAATAGAAAAAAAATATTATAAAATATTGTACACTAATCTACACATTTGTAATGATGCTGTGGGACAATGTGAGAGACACCTATTAAATTCAATATATTATTTAAAATATTATCATTACTATAGTAGAACAATAAAACATATTAGATGGTTTAGAACAAAATTTAATATTGCACAGACCACAACTGGCCAACAAATAAGTCTATACATATATTATGCTTAAAGGGATACGCCACCCAAACATTTTAATTCTGTCATCATTTACTCACCCTCAAGATTTTCCAAATCTGTAGGAGTTTCTTTCTTCTGATGAACACAAAGGAAGATATTGTTGTATAAAACAAGAGTTGTTAGGCACCATTGACTTCCATAGTAGAAAAAAAAAAAATACTATGGAAGTAAATGTTCCAATCGTTCTTCAAAACATCTTCCTTTGTGTTCAGCAGAAGAAACAAACTCATACAGAGTTGCAACAACTTGAGGGTGAGTAAATGACAACTTTCTGGGTTGAGTATCCCTTTAAGAAATGTACAAAAATGAATAAATGCTAAAAAAAAAAAATATAGATACATACACTCTTTGTAGTGCAAATTAAAATTATAAAGCGGTCACACAACTGTAGCCATCAGGTGTAACTATGTAGATCACAAAAGTATTTTCTTCCTTACAAAAGTAAACCGTTTAACAAGAAGTGCTCCCAGAACTTTCCCTGCAGGTTACTTTTTGTATAACCATGTAAATTAATTAAAATGTTGCAGATGATACCATTGTAAGACTGGAAAAACTGGAAGAACTGGTTGAGGCTGAAAATTAACATTGAACTCCCCCCTCATGCACCATTGAGACGTAGGTCTCACCTCCCTCATCCTAATCTACATTTCTCGCCCTCACCCTCCATTCAAAGGTCACCAAAAACTCACCCAAGAATCTAAATTATTTAATGTGAATGATTATCAGAGCACGTTTAGTATCATTCAAAATGTCTCATTTGGAAATGAAACATTTGTACCAGTCACACTAAGTAAAACAAATAAGGTTTTGAAGATGGTAATAACACAAACAACACAAAAGAGGATGGATGGTTAAACCCTCCTGCTCTCAGAAGGTGTTAACTCAATGCAAATTCCCACTGTTAGCAAATGGTTCCATGTAAAACCTCTTCCCCCATTAAGTCTGGGACGGTGTAAAGGTGAATTTCCACGGTAAAACTAATTTACATTTGAAATGTCTGTCTATATAATGAAATGCAGCAGAAGGCTGGGGCCTTTTCTGTGCTTCAGATGAGCCTGTGAAAGCAGTCACCGAGACTCTCAGCTTCACGTATTTCCTAATATCGGCTTCGCATTTCTTCTCTTTATTCCAGAGCATTTGATGTTTTGTAATGATAATCTTTGAACTGATTGTGAAATTGTAAAGATAAATTAACCTGACATCAATTAGCCTTTCGCCGAGCCCCGCCCCCCTTAGTTACTGCTGCTACCTCCGTCAAACAAATGGTCAAACACGGGCAGCACGACAGATTGCCATGACGGCAAAGGGTATTCCCGTGCGTGTCAGTGACCTTTTTTTGAGCAATACCTCCGCGATATCAAGCAAGATCGAAGCAAAAGGGGTTACGGTATGCGGTGGAGGGATTTATTCCAAATATAAAATTAAGAAATGAATGAGACACGACTACTATTGATGCTAATGCTTACCAGTCTCAAGAAAAATCAGAAAAACCCCATGACCATGCTAAGTTACCTCAAATGCAACCAGCACAGCCTTGAAGATTTTATAAACTGGTTCAGTGGCTAATTGTTTGGAGTTCGAAATATATAACTTGCGCTGCATATTTATTCATTTTGCCTCCGATACAGGAGTAGCACGTTCGCTTTAACAAGCAGGTTGTTCATTACCACAGCAACCGATTGCGTGTCATGCTCATGCTGAATGCGATTTTCGTGTTTAAAAAGTAACTAACGTTATGCATAAGAGACGGAAAGAGGCAGAGAACCATACGTTATTTAAGGTTATTTATATTCGTTATATTGATATAGCCTATGAACTGATGTCATGCAAGTTCCATGCTTTCCCCGTTGCGAACGTCCTCTAAACTGTAGTCTAACGTTACGGTGCTGCACTGCTAACTTAGCTGTCTGCTGCTCATTTTCCCAGAGAATATCATGGTATGTTAACAACCCTTTAGAAAATGTACAGTAAGTCCTTTGTGGATCCTCTTGATCTGCTTTCTCCGTGCTTCTTTGACTAATCTCAGTCGCACGCACGCTGCACGCGAGACGAGTTAACCATGTTCGACACATTTAACTGAAATTGGGGCGTCCACACTGTTTAATACATCTTAGGCACCGCTCGCGTTGCGTTTTGGGCTTTGGAAAGGGAAAAAACACAACTTCTCCAGACAATCTCTCTGGGTATCATGTGTCCGATTTACAAACGCCGTGGGCGCACCGCTTACTGTTTGACGGAACAGCTCACACAGTAACGGTTGCTATGATGTGTGATTGGACAATGGCCATTTTGTGGGAGGGGCCGGCGAAAGGTCAATTGTGAAATTGCAATGATAAATTAGCTTGACATAAATTGTTACATTTTGATTATTAGCTTACTTTGACATTATTTCATTAAAGTTAAAAGGAATAGTCAAACGTTCGCTTATATTTAATGATGCACACAGATATCATTAAAAACCTTTTCATTTATGGAGTCAGATGAAATAATGAGAATACATGAGAAAGGTATAGCATTTAATCAAATACTTTGCCACGAGGAAAGCAAGTAACACGTGGAGACCTTCACCTGCTTATCGGATGCCGGACTATGGGCCGATCTAGCCGGGCTTTACAATACCAATAGGCTAAAGAGATTGTTCTAATGCTGAAATTTGTAACGTATTTATGAACAAATTATATAATGCTCGGACACCCTCGGTCTCTCTCGCGCACTGTCGAGTGCACTCTTGGACCCACTCTGCCTCTCTCGTGCACGGTCAAGTGTGCTCTTGGACACAATCTGTCTTCTCTTGCGGACCCACTCGGTCTCTCTCTCTCAGACACACTCCGTCTCTCTCGCGCATTGTCGAACAGGCGTTTGCGTAGCTTTTGTCCATTCTGGCGCCTCAAACACACACACACACACACACACCGGAGAAAAAAAAAAAAAAAACCTTGCAGGTCATATGGTAAAGGGAGAGCATACTCGGATGAAAACCATGTCAGTGAGCTCAAATAGGCTATAGAAACGACAATGGTGTTGTAACAGAGGAAACAGTAATTCGTTTGATTACTGCTTTAGTAACGCCGCTTATTTATAACGCCATTATTCCCATCACTGATGACGAACGCAGAAGCGCAACGGATAGAGCAAAACAAACAGCCCATTCTCACCCCCAACGCATCACCTAACTGACGCCTTGGGAAGCATTTGACCATGCTTCAATATCTGACGCTTTAGGCGCCCTTTAGCGTCAGTTAGATGACGCCCTAGGATCACGTGTTTCCTACCCCCACCCCAGACCTAAACCTAACCGCGTCCTCTAACTGGCGCTTTCAGTCAGTCTAAAACGCTTAGAAGTCTAAAACGAGAATTTTTACAGAAAATGTCGGAGGAACTTCAGTAGAGCCCGACCGATAAAGGATTACCGATACAAAAATTTTTCAGTTTTAAAATCCGATATATCGGCCGATATTTCGGAAATCATTTCCCTAACATTAGTTATTTGAAGTTATTTATGAGTTTTAACTAAAATAATATGATTCTAAAAAGAAACTTGTTTCTTTTATTATCATAACAGAACAGACTGATGATAGTGGCATTAGCTAGCTTTTGTGGTTAGCTAGTCTATGATGAGCCAAAATTTAGCAATGGTTTAGCAATTTAGCTAAATGTTCAATATAACAGGCCAATGAGAGATGATACGTCTCATTGCTAGAACTGTCATGCGCTATTAAAGAAAGACTTCAGACACAGTCAAAAGTTAAAAGGACAGTCAGTCAACTACACTGCAACAACGCAACACAACTATTACTAGCTAATTCCGCTTCACTCTCGGCTTATTTAACAGTAGCAAAACTGGACATGATAGTCCAATATATTGGTCTGGCTCTAAACTTCAGTTTGTTGCCCAACCTTGTTAGCATAAACCGTGACAGGCGTCAAAGATTGCGCTACTCCTATGCCATGCATCGTCAAGTGTTACTCTTTTGGCTTAAGTCAAATGGCCTACGCAAGCTGCCGGAAGCAAGTTATTTTAGTCGATAAAGTTTTAAATATGGTTATTTATCTTAAGCAGTGTTAGTTTCATTGACGAAAATAATGACGAAAGTTATTTGTCAACAACATTTTCATAGAAGAAAATGAGATAACTAAACTAATTTTGAATGACAAAAACTAAGACAAAAATCTATTTACATTTTCGTCAACAAATTAAAACTAGACGAATAGTGACGATTTAGGACGCGATCCAGTCAGAACTGATGTCCTGCGTGTGGTAGATGCGCACATTTGAACTGTGATGTGCTGATCTACCCCGCGGTCCCATAAAACGTTAAAAAATGTGAACTTCTGGGAGAATGTGTAGAGATATGAAAAAGAGTGACGATGCAAAAAAGAGCTTTATTTGGTAAATGCACACACACATATAAATTGCACAAGGACTGAACTGAGCTCTCTTTCATGTCTGAATGGACAAACACAACACTATTTCTAAATGTCCGTTTTGGACAGTATTCATGTAAACTATGTCGGTTATGTCTTAAACAGTTGTGAGTGTATCGGATGTGCATCAGTGACCAAACCACATCCACTTGTCAGAGAAAGTGTTAACGGCCGTAAGAACTGACTACGATATCTATGGAAGTTTAAGGTAATCAGCTAACCTACCTAGTTCACTTTGTTATTGGCATTTTATTCCATTTAAATATCTAAATGTTACTGTGAAGAAAAAATATAAAACGTTTAAATATCAATCTGCACGTCTGTGTCCGTAGTATAGGCTTTATGCCGAGTGTCACATGACCAAACCAGAAAACAGGTCTCATCGCATCCGCTTGTCAGAGAAAGTGTTAACGGCCGTAAGAACTGACTATGATATCTATGGATTTTTAAGGTAATCAGCTAACCTACCTAGGTTAGTTACCTTCACTTTGTTATTGCCGTTTTATTCCATTTAAATATCTAAACGTTACTGTTAAGAAGAAAAAATATAAAACGTTTAAATATCAATCTGCACATGTGAGGGACATAGAGGGATATGGTTATGCTAATCTTTGCTCGCTCCTTTTAAGTTATCTTGAGTAAAACCGCAAAAAATTTCATGAAGCACATACAAAAGACCAGAACCGGAAGCAATGAGACCCATTTTACAGAATGCGGAAATAAGTGCATAGAGCCTATTGATCAAGCAGCAAAAGAAAAAGAGAAAAGCATTCACTGTTTGTTAATTGCTTTAGTATAATAAGGATTAATAAGATTTAATAGAAATAAATATTTCTGCTTGAAAGAATAAAGCATGATTTATCCAAGTAGTTATAAAGAATGCAAATATAATTCATTTAAAAGACTGTTGTACTTTAGGAAAAGTGGTTTCATTTAATTTTAAGATATTTAAGTCACAGTAGTTAAATCCGTATCTGTATTGCATGTTCGGACTTTTAAATCATTCATATTAACAGGTTAATAGATGTTTTCTTCAAATGAATATGGGTTTATACATTTTATTCTATTCTAAATTAATGCATAACAATTTAACTAAACCCATTATATTTTAGTCGACTAAATCTACTGTAGATTTAGTCGACTAAAATCATATTGAATTTCGTCGACTAAAATTAAAACAACTCAGATGACTAAAATTAAATGCCATTTTAGTCAAAAGACTAAAACTAAAAGTAAATGAAAATTTGATGTCAAAATGAACACTGCTCTTAAGCCTGAAACACAAGCAGCAAGCTGACGCAGACGAACTAGCGCTGATGAACTAGCAGACTGTGTTGTCGCCTCACGTCGGTGTAAAAAGCAGCACTTGAACGCAACGAGAGAACTACTGCCGACTGTCAGCTAAAATGCGCGTTCTACACCTGTGTGTAAATTAGACAACTGTCTATTTCTGCAGATATATTCGGCATTCAAAAAGGGAAACCGTACCGACACTACAGGCTGCATTTACACACCGTAAACAAAGCAGTGCATGGTTACCGTTTTGAATATCAATCCTGCTAAACAATATCTTTATTCCACTAAGCTCATGTTAATATTTAAATATTTGCCAAGGAACACTCAGGTAAGATGACGCAACAGCCTTATTAGTGTACCGTTTTGACTTCTTTGCTCACCATTTTGCTATTATTCTTGTAATATTCTTCTTATTACACTGACTCGTTCACTAAGCTGAACAGCCAATCAGAGTTCGCTCCTTCACCGACACAGATTCAACATGTCGAATCGGCCGAAACGAAGCCGCCGAGGATTGATTTCAGCCGACGGCATGGAACAGTGCGGAACACACCGGGAAGACTTAGTTGGCCGACACACAAAAACTGCCCGACGGTCAACCGTCGGCTTAGTGTGTTCAAACGCATTGCTTCAGAAGGCCTTTATTAACACCCCTCCCAGGATGGTTTGAGGGCGAGTAAATCATGGGGTAATTTTCGTTTTTGGTTGAACTATCCCTTTAAAATAATTATATTCCATTTGAAAAATAATTGAAAGATTCACAAATTTACAAACCTTTTTCAGAATCTTCCATATCTTTGCCATTTTCCACAGTATTCAGCAGCATTGGCTCAGCTGATCCAACAGGAACTCCATCATCATCAGGTTCATGACAAACTTCTTGAACTTCTAAAACTGAATCATTTTCAATGATATTTCCAAGCTGATCATCCACCTTGTTTTCAGGTACAGCATGCAATTCACCATTTACTACTAATAGTTCGATTCTATTACCTTCATGTCGTTCAGCACAATGAGGTTCACTTGTGTGATTTTCCCCTGTTAAGACTGCAAGGTTCACACTTGTTTTATCCTTTGAAACAGGTTGATCTACAGATGTTGATGCCGAGTGATTTTCCTTTATTGCTTTAGAAATGTTCACACTTGCTTTATCCTCCAAAACGGGTTGATCTACAGATGTTAATGCAGTGGATTTTCCATTGGATTCAATCTCCTCTGCAGAGTTCCTCAAAAACTTTGCCATGTGCTCATTTACAAGACATTGTGGAGTTTCAACTTTAACGTAATATGGAGGGCTGTTAGGGTCCAGCATATTAGCAACGCACTGCACAGTTACTTTCAGAGGTTTATCCACAACAAGCTCATAGAATGTATCGGTAGCTACACTGTCGCATGATCCAGACGATAGATCAAATCCTTCTAACTGACACAGAAAAGCTTGAGCTGGACTTTGCAGCAAGTCATAAGGTAGTGCTTTAACAGAGCCTTCGCTGATTTCAGACTCATTTCCGAAATCAACAAATAGGACAGAAACAGTGTTTTTGCACTTATTAATAACCTTTGCACGATACCACACTTGATCATCGCAATAACGAGCCAAGCACGGGTGCTCAGTTTCCAAACTATCTAGCAGAATTGTCTCCGTCTCACTAGAGTTTCCATATTCTTGGGCAACGTGGGTGATTTGCTCAAGTATTTCAGAGTTTGAAAACTGGCACCAGAAATAATTTGGTCCAACAATGCAGGATGCAAACGCTTCTACTGTCTGTCCCAAAGACACGTCTGGTTTCTTGAAGAGCAGCTGGAATGTCTCCTGCTCAGTTTTGGAAATTGCCAGTAATGCATTCAAATCAAAATTATCCCATTTCTCACTAAACGAATCCAATGAGCTGGGAGTCATTTTCACTTTCCAATTAATGGCATCATCTTTGATAAACTTGCAAGAGAGAGTTTTCTCTCCAGCATCACCGAAAATGTTTTTGAAGAGCAAAATCTGTTCCTTCATTTCCTCTGTTCCCAGGGTCTTGAATCGATCATCTACACTAAAGCTGCAGTGAATGCTGAACCTTGGGTACAACAGTAGCGGCTCATCAAGTTGATGAATATCAAGGGGAGATACAGTTGCCTCATTTCCAAAATCTATGAACTCTACCCGAATCTTGCCATTTTCAGTTGTGTCCTTCACAATGGCACGATACCAGGAACCATCTTCAGAAAACATGGCTTTAACCAAACTTCCCTGCTGAACACTGAATGCCTTCCTTTCATCTTTCTCAGATAGCTGAGGGGAATTCAATAGTTCGCTGAGGGAGAATAATGTATTCTCATCGATTGCCAGTTGTACAAAAAAACTTGTCAGGCTGTTGATGTGCGAAATATACACCTCAGACACTGTACCTGGTTCAATCACACGAGGAGGAAGATCTCCAACTTGAGGTAAAAACTGCACTGATAGTTCAGGAACCACAGTGTGTCCATATTCTTCAGGAGACATTGGGTTTGTAATGCTTTGGTCTTGGGTCATGGCTGCAGCACATTCTAACCGCCAACCATCATGGCGTTGTAATCGAACTTCTTGATTGGGTTCATTTTGAGAAATCTGTGACTCAGAGTTTATAAGTTCAGGGTTAACATGTACTGGTCTTGTACTAGAATTAAGCTTGGGAGTTTTATTTTTCAGAACCGTTTCAGAGCTTGTTGCTCCAAAACTGTCCTTGCCTGCAGAGGGTTTTGTTTTAGCGGCAACTCTTGATTCGCTACAGATTTGAGGTTTGGGGTCACACCAGTAATCTTTCATTAGATCATTAACAATAAGCCCCTTGCATTCAACAAGAACGCTATACAGAGGACACTTTGAAAGGTAAGATGACCTTACAGTGTTCCGAATAGTCACTTTTAAAGGTTCATCCACCAGAAGCTCAAAAAATGCATCAGTTGCAGCGTCACTCCAAGTGCCATCTACGGACCCCAAAGCTTCTAACTGACAAAGAAATGCTTGTGGTGGGCTTTCCAGAAGCTTGGTGGGCAGGAACTTAACGAAGTTCAGATCAATTTCAGACTCATTTCCATAATCTATAAAAAGAACAGAGACCGTTTTATCATGCGTTTTTATAATCTGTGCACGGTACCACTGCTGGTCAGAAAATAATGCTAGGCACAGTCCTCCTTGGCGTAACTGATTTGGCTGAATTGGTTTAGTTCGACTACAGTTTCCAATTTCTTGTGCAAGCAGAGAGACTTTGTCAAGTTCCTCTGAGTTTTTGAACTGGCACCAGAAGTAATTTGGTCCATCAATAGATGAAGCATATGCTTCTACAATTTGTCCTTGAGTTATAGCTGGTTCCTTGAAGGTTAACGGCTGATTATTTTCATTGCAGTGCATTTGCGATTCAGTTTGAGCACCTGATTTGAGAGCAGTATTAAACAAAGGACCTTCCAATACAACACCCTGGTGCTCTAAACTGACAAGCCAAGCAGATGCGTCCTCTTGGATAAACTTGCATTGAATTTTCTTCTCACCATTTTCACCTGTTGATTTTTTGAAAGTCAAGATATCTTCCTGGGTCCAATCACCTTTTTTTCTTTTCTTACCATCCTCAACCGTGCAACAAATACTGAGCCTGGGTGTGCTAAGGAACTGCTTGCCAAGTTGCCTTATTTTAAGGGGTAGAAGTGTTGCCTCATTCCCAAAATCAATAAACTGCACTTGAACCATGCCATCGCTCTTGTTTTGAACAACAGCACGATACCAGGCCCCATCAGCAGGATATTCAGCTCTCACTAGGTCACCTGACTGCAACAAGTTGAGATCAACTGCGTCACTTAATTGATCAGAATTAAGTTTGTCGAGAATAGAAAATATTTCATCTTCATCACTAGCCAATTGCACAAAAAAACTTGACGGACTATTACAGTGTGAAACATAGATTTCTGAAACATATCCTGCATCCAAGGCTTTAGAGGGAAGATCGGTGAGCTTTGGATAAAGGATCACCTGTTGGTGTAAAACATTAGGCCTAGCTCTACTGTGTCCACTCGCTTGATTAGTATCAGTCTGGAAGTTTTGTTCCAATGTTCCTTGAACAACTGGTTTTGTGGTCTTCTTGAAAGTATGAGCCTTATCAGTTCCATTGCCGATGTTTCTTTTGGTCTTGTTCAACTGCTCTTTAATTTTTAAGTTGAGGTTTGTTTTCTCATCATACATCTCCACGGACAGTTTGCCCGAGGAATTTTGTTTCACGATGACGGTGAACATGCAGCCTGTGGCATAGTTTTTAAACCACTCATTAATCTCACATGGCTCAGGTAATGTTAAATTACAAAGTTCAAACAGAACAGCCTGAATGGGAGTAGATGCAATCGCACTAGCATTTGGGGGAAATGGTAGAATATCAGATTTATCCAAAACGACCAAGTCACCATAGTCAACAAATTTGACAAGTATTTTTGGATGCGTCGATTCAATTTGTCCTCTGTGCCACAGCCCATCTGTGTATTTAGCAAGACACATCATCTTAGGGAAAATTGAACACTTAGGTTGTGGCCGTTTGCGGCACAGTTGTTGAATATCTTTGGTCATTTTCCTGACTGTATCAGTATTTTGTGCAAAATGGCCAAAGAACTGGTTTACACTTTGGACACAAGTTATTTGCACCTTATCCTTTGCGCCCACTTCAATTTTAGGTGGTGAATCAACATATGTATCCGTCTGAAGGAATGGAGCTGCACCAATACTCGGTGAGTGCCCTCCCTCTGCAGGTTGTAGGTTTTCTTCAGATTTGGAGGGTCTCACTACCGAGACATTTTCAAGAGCACTGGAGCATCTGGTTAAAATGGGTGAATGGAGAGAATGTAAAGACACATTTCTGTCATGCATATATTTGCAAGTCACTTTGTTTAGATTCTCAAGAGTTGGGTCACTACAAATCCTCTCCGTCACTGACAAACACTGCTCTCTGTGACCAAATGTGGTGTTCACATTTACATTGTCATTTCCATAAAGTGTTATATGATAGACATCCTGTTTCACACTGTGATGCTCAAATTTTCCAACAAGGATTTGATTGAGTACAACGGACTTCAGATAATCTATCTGATCAGACCTCCATCCAACTCCTTTGTCAATGACACCATATAAAGAGCATTCATAGGTGATAACTGGTAATTGGAAGAACCTTGCAGACAAGGGTCTGATATTGCAGAGTTTAACAAAATCTCCAATCCCGTAATCGACATGAAAGACCTTGACAACATCAGAGATGTTGTTCTGCTGAAGTACAGATCGATACCAATTGCCATCACTTCCTTTGGTTGCACATGGAGACCCATCAGACAGTGGCATTCGCATCGGAGCAGAGAATGCATCTTCATAGTATTCGTGGAGTTGATCACTTAATTTCTTGAGCTCATGTGAAAAGACATGCAGTTTGCAAAAGATCCTCAATGGATGAACAACTTGTGTTACAGTTACAATCTCAATTGTTCCAGGCAACAACTCTGGATACAAATATTGATGCAACTTGTCAGGGTCACTGGCATGCTCCTGCTGACCATTTGTAGATGTAACATTGGTCTGTATGGAAGTATTTATTGGCAAATCCAGTGAATGCATTACAAGGCTTTTAAAGTCTTCATTAGGCATTTTTCTAGCAAATCCAAGTTCATACATTTGTTTCGATACACTTGGAATGTCAAGGAGAACAATTCTGGAAGGCATCATCACATCCTGAACACACCCAGATACCTTTTTCCCACACAAAGATCTGATGTACTCTGAAGCGGCCCGAGACCATGCACTCTCAAGACATAGAGGTGATACACTGGCCAGTATACAAAGCTCTACCCTGGGAGGTAGACTGCAAAGGTTGCGTGGACATTTTTTTAAGACTTCGCTTGAGGCCCAGAGTAATTTTCCATCATCAATTAGGAACACCTTGTAGTTATGTTTAGATTTTGAAAGTATCCTTGCTCTGTGCCAAGCTCCGTCTTCATATACTAAACATAGTTCTCCAGGTTTGCCTTCAAAAGTTTGCTGCCATTTCCTAAGGACATCAATGTCTTTTTTTAGTTTTTGATATACATCAATGGCCTCTTGTCCATGATTTAAATTCCCTCCAAATTCCACTAAGATAGTGTGTGGGTTTAAAGTGACTCTTGCAATATGAACGGTCGTATTGGATCCGACTTCTGGCAAACCAGGAATTGAACACATCTTGGTTGGGAATCTTGCCTTTCCAAATTGTTAAAGAGCATTAATGGGGAAAATCTGAAGAATGAAAAAGAAGAATTTATTAAAAGAAAAGTTTAACCATGCACCACACAAACACACAACAACAAAAAAAAACACTATATAGCCTATGTTTGTTAACTCATGGGGAGCGTGCAACCACACATGCCTACAGACATTTCACTGAGCAAGCAAAATGAAGAGCAATGAAGTACAATGCAACAATACAACATCACATTCCCGGGACATCTGTGCCATCGGAGAGGGGGTTTTCTGGCGCGGGTCTCACTCAACAGGCTGCGCTCAAGACTAACCCCACATCATGAAGACAAGGCAGTCCCTCCAGAAAAACGTGATTATGCGATCGCTGAATTCAATGCAAAATCAGCCAAAGTCTGCATATTTATGCGGGGGCCGCATTTTTTTCAAATACGCCGCACTTTCGCCGCATAAATTGCCAATTTCCGTGCAAAATATGCAGGGTTTGCATAATTTCATTATCCTCATTGCAAAAAAAAAGTCACATGCATCTTAGCAGAAAGTTGAAAAATGTTGTGTTTGCGTCACACAAGAGCAGCCATTTCCCCCTGTTTCCATGGGAACGTTATGAAGTGACGCAATTACGCGATGCCAGACAAATCGAACTCGTATAACTGTCCGTCACACGTTCTACCGTCACATCGTTACTCAATAAACATCATAAGATAAAAGAAGAAGCATCAAAAAGAAATTACCTGCACTCACTTTTTTTTCTCTTTTTTTTATCAAACCGCAATTTTTGCAAGTTCCCTCAATTTTTGCAAATTCCTACAATTTCATCGCATAAAATTGCATAAATATCCTGCATATTCCATCGCATTTTTAAAGAAAAAGGGCCGCGTAATCAATCAGTTTTTGCCCGCAACAATCACAGAAAAACTCCACATTTTTCTGGAAGGACTGAATACTATTATGGTAAATGTTATATAAATCGCAAATTTTTTCACAAATTTTTGGAAGTTACCACCACAAAATCAGTCATTTTGGTCACAAAAATCACACAAAAAAAATCGTGAAATCCTGGAGGGACTGACAAGGTGTGGATAGAGGTAGGCCTGCTATTTCTATTTGATGAAAAAAATAATATGCAGACGGAAAAAAAAGACTGGTTTTCAAAGCTTCAAACAGATTGGGTTTTCTTTTTGTCCTCTTAATTTGTTAATTTTTTAAGTAAAATTTTTTTTTCCTCTGTTGTCTATGGAAGAGGATTAGGGCCAAGCAATGAAAAATTAAAACCATCTCGAGATTAAAGTCATTATAATGCGAACTCAAAAAAAGTCGTGTTTGTCAAGTTTCTCACGATTATTTCGACTTTATTCTTTATATTTAATGAGTTAATTCTCGTATTTCGACTTTTTCCTCTCGAAATTTAACGAGTTTAATCTCGCATTATAATGACTTTAATCTCGAGATGGTTTAATTTTTTTTTTATTATTGCTTGGCCCTTATCCTCTTCCGTAGTCGTCACTGTCAGAAATGCTGCAAGTGCTTGAAAATTTGATGTGAATCCAGGTTCTGTTGATGTGTTTCTGTATGCTGCTTTTTGCACATTAAAATATACCAGTGAAATTTTTCTTTTGTATTTTATGCTGGGTTACACACTCTTCAATTTTAGTTTTATTGAATTCAATATTATAATCTTATCAGTTAACGGTTAATACTCTGATAACGAGCGGCGGTTGCCGGTCGGGAAAATGATTTTGCCATTGTATTATTAAAGGTAATTTTTAATTGGCATCTAATGGTGAGGTTGCAAATTGAAACCAACAGAAGTTATGGTGGCCGACAGGAAAAGATCGTCATCTGTGACAGCAGAGAGGTTAGAAGAAATTGCGAATATTATTGATACTCGTTCATCATTGTGTCATTTGCTGACTTAAGCTAGCTTCTTTGCACGAAGAACAACAGTGACGAAACACATTTGTCTGTTTAGGACTACAGTAGAAGTTAGCGCATTTCAATGTAAGGGGACAAACGGTGTATGTAGATAGAAATGGCTCATGACGGTTCATCGAGTAAGGTCTTTATATATCAATTGTCAACAGATCCTCCTAAATATCAAACAATGCATTTTTTATTTTTTTTTCTTAGTATTTTCAAATAAGTGTTGGCTAAGCAATATTAAAAGAACTGTCATCTAATAAAGTATTTAAATAACCATGGGACTTTTGTCCCAAAAGTGCAAGAGAATTTCGTGCAACAGGATCAAGAAGCCATTCTGAAATCATACAGAAGGCAGTGGATTCTGGAATCAAAGTATTCAAAGTTCAAAGTATATCTAATGAGTAATTATAATCAAGGTATTCATCAATATTTTTCAGTCAAAATATCAAATGAGTAGAATGACTTCTCTAAGCTTGATATTTTACTTCGTTATGGAAGTTACCAGTGTGATTACTGAAATGTTCTTTCATGTCACATGGAATCACTCAGTGTTTCAACCGTGGAAAGTCAGTAAAATAGATTGTAACCTAGGGCTGCAACAAACTATTATTTAAATAATCGATTAATCTAACGATTATTAGAGTGATTCATCGACTAGTCGTCGATTATTTCGCCGACTAATCAGTAGGTTTGGAACGATTATTCAGATTTTTCTATTAATTAAAATATTGAGTTATACATAGTCATCCTATATAAAAAAAAATCAGTTCAGCTTTTGAAATAGTTGTTTTAATTAATTTGAGCCAAGTACACGACGCTCAGTACTAGGGCCGTTACTGTTCACTCTGTACATGCTATCCTTGTGAGATATCATTGGGTAGCATGGCATTAGTTTTCACTGTTATGTTGATGATACGCAGCTTTATATTTCCTCACACCCTGACGAAACTTAACATTTCACAAAATTAACGGAATGCATAGCTGATAAAACTTTGGATGACTAGTAACTTCCTACCAAATTCTGAAAAAATAGATTCTAATTATTAGACAAAACTTCCTCACGTAATAACCTAAAATACTGTCCAACACTTGATGGCTGCTCGGTCAAGTCTTCATCATTGGTTAGGAACCCAGGTGAGCTCTTATATAGCAATATTTCATTTTAAAGTCACGTGAATACAGTGGGGAGAACAAGTATTTGATACACTACCAATTTTGCAGGTTTTCCCACTTACAAAGCATGTAGAAGTCTTTAATTTTTATCATATGCACTCTTCAACTGTGAGTGACTGAATCTTAAACAAAAATCCAGAAAATCTCATTGTAGTATTTAAGTAATTCATTTGCATTTTATTGCATGACAAGTATTTGATCACCTGAACTACCAACCAGTAAGAATTCCAGATCTCACAGACGTGTTAGTTTACAATGTGATTTTCTGGATTAGGGTTGGGCATCGAGAACCGGTTCCAACAAGTTCTGCAAATCTGTTTTTGGTCTGGTGCAGAGGCAGCTCCCAAAATTAAAACTTATTGAATCAAAATAAATTGTTCCTCTGTGAAATGAGTCTGTAATGAGTTTTGACTCCACCCAGATTATTGTAATGCTCTAATTTGGGGAATTAAGCTAATTTTCAACCTCCCCTCAAGTAAAACAATTGTTTATTTACCGTTTTGGAAACCATTCAGCGATCTCCTGGTTTGGCGAGAACACTTTTACCATAGCTTAACGTAATTCATAGTATGACGACAATACTAGGAGTGGAACAATACACAGAAGTCACGGTTCGGTTCAGACATCACTGTTTGGTACGGTTTCGGTAAAAAGGAGTGAAAAGCAAAACAAAAATATAGAAGGCATTTTTATAAATGTCTCAAGCCTAGTATTTTTCAAATAAGTTTTATTAATAAAGGCATAGAACCAGATCATTTATTACAGTTTTATATAATTAGTTTATTAAACTAATAACAAGATAAAAAGACCTTTTGGTAATTGTACCTTAATGAATTTAAAATTAATTTGCTATATTTCAGATCAATAAATGTTTTCCTTAATTTTAATTAACCTTAACTTTATTCTCATCAGAGTTATAAATAATCGATTTCCGTATAAAACACTACCAATACATTTGATTTTCTTTTTTAATCAATGTGCAACTTAAAAATGAACAGATTAGTGCTCTGTTTTGAGGACAAGAAATGAAAACCAATGCGAAATGATGAATGTGCAAAAGATGGAACTCTGTAACGGCCACCTAGTGTTAAGTAGTGTTCATGACATTTTGAAATGCCTTTAAGATGACTACTTCTATGCACTACTTCTATACTTCTGCGTGCTGTTCTTATGCGAGCGTGCACGCACGGTGAGTAAAAATGCTCGCGCAAAGAGGAAGAGGACCGCTCCATCACTGGCTGTTGTTTTATAATAATGCGTTTACTTCCACTTTGATTTGCAGCGTTTTACTGAGTGTTTTTCCCTGTTAACATCCACTCTTTAGACATGTATGTGAAGAGTGTGCTTAACTGAAAGAAAGCAACTATAAAAGGACTCGAGGAACTACCAGTTCGTTTGCACTGTCTTTCCTATTCTTCATCTGGGCAGATGAAAGTTCTCTTGGAGAACAACTGGGAGACTGAGGAGGTGGAAAACCATCAAATTCTTGATGGACCACAGCTCTACAATTTTGAACAAGTAAGAGGTGTGCATAGACTCTCCTTAGGTGGTCCATGGGTATGGGTGGACACAATCCAGGCACTAGGACACAATATTATTCAAAAACTAAACAAAACTACTTGTGTTGTTTCTACATTGAGCATTGTAGCCAATCACAGACGTGCATTAAGCCCATGAACACAGTATCAAATCAGGCATTTTAGGGCGTTTTCACACCTGAAAGTCCGCACCAAGGTCCGAACCAAAGTTCATGTTTTGATACATTTTATACTTAAAGAAAGTTTTGGTTTGACACTGCAATAATGCGAGCGCACTATACAGTAGAACTTTACATGACATACTTGCGTCCTGTCATCATCTATGTGGGCTGCATCTTGACATTGATTGGTTTGTAAATGGACGTGCGTCTGACGTCAGCGTGTTGTCAATTCAGAGGGTAACTT